TCTTCCTCTTTTAAAAACATTCATATAATGTACCAAAAACGATTTTCCTGTAAAAAAAATCTTTTAATTTGGATTATTATTTCTCCATATGTCACTTCCGCAAAATTTATGTTAAATTTTGCCAGAAAAAAATCACATTCTGACAGCTGTGTTAACGATTGATATTCAAAATAATTTTTCTAAGAATTCACTTCATTTTTCTAATTTCTTATTTCTGTTTTAAATGAAAGAAGTTGGAAATCTTGACTATTGACGAGAATAAAAATTTTGAATATTGACATAGTGGATGAATTTCAAAATTATCCTCATCTGATGAAGTGCAAATTATTTTACTCACAAATAAGTTGCTTCCTTAGGGATAGTGTGGATCAAACAAAAAAAGAGAGAAATATGACTATCATTTTAAAGTTAATGACGAAATGCAAATTTTGAAAATATCATGTGAAAGTTAAAATGCGCAAGATTGTTTCACATATAGAATTTCTCGGCTAAATAAATTTACCTATGGATTATTTGGCTTCAACTATAAACAAAAAATAGCATAAGCATGAGTGGTTCAATTATCTTTTAAATAAAAGCTTTATCACATAAAACAATATTGTTTGGAAGTATTATCTTTAAATTTTTGGCCAAAAAAACAACCGCTACGACGCGATGTGTTGCTCGTTCGTTTTGAAATAGTCAGTAAACGTTGCTAATACCAATGTAAAATTATTGAAAGAATGATGGTAATAAAGATGAGGAAGAATTTGAGGTGAAAAAAATAGATTGAACAGAGAACAGCTCTTTATATCTTTCTTTTTGTTCTTCATTTCTTTTTATTAAAGGTGATAATCACAGTGAAAACTACTCTCGGTAATTTCATACAAATAAACAAATTGATAGATATTTTCTATCAATCGAGATCTATCATCGATTGTCCTTGAATAAATCAGTCAACTCTGAAGAAAGGAAAAGGAAAATATTGTCTGCGAGCGATTGAAGATGGAAGAGTTGGTGGATACATCAATGTCTATGTATAGGTGTGTGTGTGTATACGTATGTGTGTATGTGTGTGTGTGTGTATGTGTGTATGTGTGT